ATATGTCCAATGTCACGATCACGTACCTAATTTGGCCACTGGAGTCCAATATTTGTTCAAGCAGTAATCAAGTAACAAATAGAGTAGTATTCCAACGATTATATTATGACACTATGTATATTCTCCTTGTTTCCATTACTTTTTGAACACTTTTCAAGACTGTTAGTTTATTCTACGTTGTGATGTGGAAACTGACAAGTTATAAAAATGCATTTTTCGCTCGATTATATGTTTTCCTTTTTACCTATATTACGATAGTTAAGAAAAATAGGCTGGTCATTCATTGTACAGTTATTTAATACTCAGAGTTCAAAACAAGAACTTATCCATCTAGAGAGAATAAAGAAGGAACTATTAGTCAACTGGATAGCGTTTAGATTTATGTAAGGACTCACGATGAAACTTGTCTATCTGACGAAATCATTATCTCCATTAGTTAACAGTATGTACTGTGAATTATGACCAGAATATCATACATACCATCCCACCCAAAAAACAATCCCAGCTCACAGAACCCGTTTGCAAGAGAATCCAACGTGGTTTGGACAACCAGGTATTGCTTTGGCGTTTATATAAAAGATGTATGCTATCACTACTTAGCTCATGAACTCGTGTTTTGTTACTGACACACTATTTTACTGTTCATCTTACATATTATCGAATCTCGTATAGCTTTTTTACCGAAGAAAAAATCCTCCATGAGAATCATGGCGAAAATTAATTGTTGGAAAAAAAACAATAAAACGAACTTGATAATAAGTGGTCATTGCATCACAACAGCTTGTCTGACCGAGTGGGCATTTAACTTGTAATATTGGTTCACCGAATGGAACAGATAAACGGGAATTACTTGTGTATGTTAAAGTTTTATTAGATGAGCTGCGTATCTGTTGATTAAACGCATTAGATGATCCTGCAGATGGAATAAGTGTAGTTGTTTGATCAAGTTTATGTGCAAAGCTGATAACCACTGTCTACGTTCAAGCTCACGTCTAAGACTGGCCACTTCCATAAAACTACGTCGCATAACATCCTAAATAAAGATAATTAAATAAATTTCAATTGGTTAAAGCATATAATGCCCTATTAAAACCAAAAAAAGATAATCACTATGATATATAAAAGAACAGACAAAAGCGACAAAACCAAACAGTCATGAAACACATGAAGTTATGAAATGTATAGAAAATGAAGTAAACCTCGTTACATGATACACATCCATAGTAATTCATCTAATATCCAAACAATTTAGGACTTCAGTTTACAAATTAAGAAGTTATATACGAAAACTCATTTCTACATCAGGCCCAGCCTACTGTCTTTCGTGCTAAGATCGACAGAACATATAACATCATCGGTACAAGTCATCGCACTTAAATCAGCAAAGAAAGTCAACAGAGTGAGACACTGGAATAGAATACGTTATGAATTGGAAAAAACTTATAAAGACCAATCAGATGTTCAAAAATTCATTTACTTCGACGTAAACGACCTTAATCCAGTATAACGAATATTCGCACAGTATCGAGGCCTTCGCATAGGAACGGGATACTACAAGTGTCATTCAACAACAACTGATACCCGTTGCACAAGAGGTGGTTCTCGTGCTACGGAGGCCTTGTGGATAACACTATGGTATTTGGAGAGATGGGTACTCGATTCGAGTTTTAGTGGGAACAGTACCGATCACAGAAGTGCAGATAAATCCAGATGACGAGTCCCCAATAGGACGAAACGCAAGTCCCAAATTTCGCTGTAAGCCACCAAGTAGACCACAACTTTAAACCATGTCCATTACTACCACAAATAAATAACTCCTAGCATCACAACAATCTCAGCTACAAAACTAACATTTCTTTACATAATCCGGGATACCAGCCAACTTTCAGTATCTGAGAAGTTATGTCAAACTTAAAAAAAGCCTCAGTCAAATATCAATCAAGTATATGGATCCAGATCTACAATACTGAATTCGGATGTTCATACGGTAAATATGGCTAACAACCTACTACATGCGTTTTTCTTTGCTTATTTCATCGCTCATGTTGAAGGTAAAAAACACAGATTAAAAGGATATATGGATACGCATCACCCAGAAAACTATGAGTTTCATAGGATGTACAACATTTAGGACCAAAGGAAACAAATTTCCATGATCAATAAAACACGTAGAAGGTAGAATAGCCGATAAAGTAACTACATGAATTGAACTCCAAAGATGGCATTTCTAATAACAGAAAAATTGCATTCACTTCAGTCAACTAGTAGAACAAAAACTGTTACCTGTGGAGTTAACCAATTTGTTCGATGTAAGTGTAAAATCATGGAGTAGGTGATTTTGAACTTTGAAACCAGTTGTGTCTGCCTCCCAAGAATTATATCGCTCAAAGTATGCTCAGACGGCAATCCTGAACTATTTGAAGTAACTGATTTACCAATTCCACCGAGCAGAATAATAACAGATCCTGAAGCATCCAAACCACGACGGCCTGCACGACCAGCCATCTGTGTATACTCGCCTTGAAAATGAATTTACAAGATGAATAAAAACAAATGCAGAGAATAACGAGATGGCTTGAGTGTGTGTGCAAACACTCTCTGTGACATTCTTCTTCGTGATGAATAAGTTACCGCGTAAAAACCAAGATAGTGTCAAGGTCTTTATTATTCACAGAGTTCTATTCGTAAAGTAGCTTAGCTAACTGAAATAAAAGACGCAATAAAACCGTTCAGATGCTTTGTATTTTAGATGTTAATCAGCAATTAGTGAAAAGATAGGAATGAGAGGAATAACAACTTGTTTGGATTATAAAGTTACAGTTCATGAAAGTGATACTTGTACGGATGTATACCAGTAACAATGTCAGAAAGCACAAAAGGTGATGACAATCCCGTGGTGAATATTCTAAAGAGAAAGAGATATAATATCGAGTACAAATAGAAAAGGGAGAGAACACTACACATTGGAATTTCAAAAAGGACAATGTTTGCTAGTGTGAGTTTATTGGAAAGTTTCATATTCGACCACTGTTTCTATCATCTTGGGCAACCAACCATGAAATCTACATCGCCCCACACAACTCAGACGATAAGAGACTTCTTGGACTATACCCTATACCTTCTCCAAACCTGTTCCAACTACTCCCAGCACAATACATCGAAATAGGTGCTTTTTAGCTTTGAACAGTACATGTCCAAGCCATCTCAGTTGATGAGGGTTCACAACCTTATCGATCCAGTTGTCTATCTTACCTAGTACCCCTTACTTAACTTCAACATTGCTCACATGGTGATCCAACCAAAAGCAAGCAATGCTAAGAACACAACTGTGATCAAAACCCAGTAATCGCTTCATGTCTTCTTCTTTTCACTGCCATGTATCAAAGCCACAGAAAACAACAGGAAAGAACGGACTGCAGTGCAGTATACTCGTCATTTGGTTGGCAGTCGGATATTTCGCTAGCTGGTGCACAGATGATGCAAATTGAAAAACGCTAAATGGGTCTTCTGTATCCAACCTGAGATTTCTTCAGCAACCAGCTCGTGCATCGGTTCAAGTTGCCACACTTTAATGTAATATACAAAGAACAGGTGTATAGAATAAGTGATATCAAAGTAGACAAACATGTGAGAGAACAAACAATCTGAAGATAAAGGTTAGTACAAGTAATCAACCTTCAGAAGATATCAAAGACTAAATAAATCTGAGACACTGTGACACATTTTACCTATTTCACCAACATTCATCAATCACCGATTCCTATCGTCCCGAGCACCCCAGTCACGACTCAGACCAACGGTAAGAGACTTCGTGGACTGGTCCCACGTTTTGGTCTGGCCACTGAACTGAACTCTCTTTCAAAATAATCTACCTATCTCTACCATAGCAATATCGAGGTAGGCGGCGACTCGGCATGGGCAACATATTTCTAAACCATTTCAGCCGATGAAGTTTTACAACCTCATCAATCGACTTTCTTATCTTTTTGGTACCCTTCTCTTGACCTCAGCATTGTTCACACGATGATTCCACCAAATCGAGCAATGCTATGATCAAAACCCTATAACTTGTCTCCTACTTTTAACGCCCATGTTTCACAGACCTATAACAGGATAGAAACGGAATGCAGTGCAGCATACTCGTCTTATGCTTGAAAGTCAGACAGCTCGCCAGTCGGTGACACAGATGATGTAAGTTGGGCTTTTGTATCCAATCAAAATTTCGTCAGCAAGAAGCCGGTTTCAGCTGATGCAACTTTCCAAGTAAGTGAAGTGATCAACACATTCCACCACTTCACTTCCTATCAGTAAACTGTAAGTACTTGCAGCAGACCAGTCCAGGAGCATCATCTTACATTTGGCAGGTGCCAGCGAAGCGTATGCCAAACATACTCAGACTTCTGCTCAATGCGTTTCACAAGATCCTGCATTTCCTCAACATCTCCAAGCAGGACAATATTGTCTGTTTACTCCGTATCAAACAGATGACGTCCATGGAGTAGGTAAATCGCTATTAAGGCAAAAGTACGACCATGACGAAGATGAATGGGAAAGGTGACAGTGGATATCCCTAGAGAACAACAATTGTAATTTTTCAGTAGAAGATCTCTGCTATTTCGTTAAATTTTTCTTCACGATGACTACCATTTGAATCCATTACATCAGTTTGTTTGATACAGCATACAATAATGGATTACAATCTACTGGATGATATTTTGTTGACAATTTATTACTCCGCAAATAAGTGTTACTCCGTACCACACTAATCTCATACAAAATTATTCTTTAGTACAGTTATCAAGATTTACTTTTGCGTTACCGTCTGAAGGCAAAGACTAATGTATCCAACCTAGTTCGGATAGACATAACAAGACGTGGAATAACTGCGTACCAGTTCATGTAACCCCAGACCAAACTGTTATAGCAACCGAGAAGTCGACAAGAGAAACAAAAAAGGTGAATATAATATCATCAGTGAAACACAGTTAAGATAAGATGCTACGTCACAACGCTTAAATATTTGAGTTTGGGGTTTTGGGAAGATTTAGATTTTTCAAGTTGGTAATCATTTTGGACTGATATCAGTTGGAGGAACATTGGAAACCTGGAAGCACTGGACAGATGTTTGGTCCCAGTGTGAGTGCACACTGCTGAAAAGTCCCATGTTAGGACGAAACAGCTGTCCAGTGCTCCCAGGTTTCCAATGTTCCTCCAACTGATGTCAGTCTATGATGAATACCAACTTGAAAAAACTTCAATATTTCCGGAAAAAAACAAACCTCTTCAAGATTTGCAGACAGACATGAAAATGAAGTCAGAGGTATTCGTAGGACTGACTTCAAACTTCGAATATTATCCTGTTTTAAATAGTCGGAAAACTAAGCAGTTGATACACTTTACACATATACAGCCGTTTGACACTCATGAAAATTGGTGTGTATTTTTTCCTAAATGCGATAGTACTAATAAATCTGAATTATTTTCTTCATCACGAGAATAACCAAAAATATAATTAACAAATGACAAGAATTCTCAGTCACCATGTGAAAAACATCTAACCTGAAAAGATTAACACAATAGATCGAAAATAAAAAAGTAAGTCGTGAAGGTTCAAAAGAACTAACTTGAATTCAGAGGGCGACGTTTTTGACCATCGAATTTCTCCAATGTAGTGAAAATGACACAACGTGCAGGCATATTAACACCCATTGCAAATGTTTCAGTGGCAAACAATATTCTCACTAAACCACGTTGAAATAACAGTTCTACTGTCTGGTTGCATGGTGGAAAAAAGGGAATAAGTAAGTTATTAAAATAAAAACACCGAAAAAGGTATAAGTACAATAAACGCAACTTAGTAACTATGCACAAATCTATAGATTAGGCTAACAGTTAACGATACTGTCTGGCTGTTTAAATAAAAAGTGGAGAGGGGCGCCAATCCATGAAAGTCAATTGTCTAAATCTTTCAGTAATGTGCAAAACCATCAAATCCTACTTCTTTAAAAATAAAAGAATGTCAACATGTCTCAGACATTTGTACTTTAAGATGACGACATTATGTTCAGGTGAATATACGCTTACAAAATACAGTTGCAAAGTGTCATTATGGTGTCTTGCAAAAACCAGACAGTTTAGTTTGTAAATTATGCTATACATACTAATGATGACCGGTAGTGATAAACTGATTTCTAAACGAAACCGTAGTGTCACTTATCAAGTGAGTTTCACCATATGACAGTTCAGGTCAAAACCTACGAATCTTTTCACAATGACTTTTAACAAGCGAAAAAACTAACTGCTATTTAGATTTCCCCACCTGAGACAATTCAAATGACATTACGTATGTTCTTACCAGTGAACATAAAACTCATTATCTCATCTATAAAACTACTTGCATGAAATTGAAAACTTGGGCAATAACCACAGTGCCACAAGCAGTATCTCAATAAGCTTGAATAGCGTTAGGAGCTAAGTGAGAAAGTAACTCTCTTATCCTCCTGACAATGGAAATCGAATAACTGAACGCTTCTGCCGATACGAATAATCGAAACTGCTAGGGATTGTATGTAGTACAGTTGCACACTACAACTGATCAATAAGAGGTTGTACCACTGTTTGCTTGGTAATTAAGTTTTACAGTTCAATTAGTAAGGGGATCAGTCTGACATCTATCTGTACATGATGCAATTCAAGTTTCTAAGTGGTACAGAGATATGTTCCGACTTCAGTTATTTGCACAATACCGAAAACGGCAAACACTACTCACTTCTTTCAACAATGGCATCATTCCAGCATGATGAATAGCCAATCCTCTTACAGCTAATTTGCTAATAAATTGAACTGAAGCAAGTTTTCGATCACATCTTCTTAAACGTTTAGTGATTGAGGCGTTTAGGAAGTTTTTAACCTGTTGTTTTTCATCTGTTTCCAAGGAAGTAAACAACACAACAGAAGCATTACTTTTTAATCATGAAAACGTTTAGTAGTCAAATGTGCATGATATAAAAATAATAGTGGAAACTAAAGATATGAAGTACATATACTCCGTGTAGCAGTTTAAACAAACCCATTAACTGAGGTATTAGTTAAACTGGTAAAACGGCAAGGTGATCAAACACATCAAATAAAATTGAAACAGATAAAATTGGGATTTCCTATTTTTATGGCTAATAAAACCGGATACGATTCGGTCTCGAATGCTCGGAATGATACAATTGGATAGATGAAGCATAGTACGTCAGGCCTCAAATCCAGTCACTGAGAGGTAAATAAATACAAGAAAAAACAGGAAGTAAATGAACGCTGTTAATGTTGCGCTAAGCTGATCAAAGTAAAACTTCATGTGCATATACACCGGTTCTGGTTAAGCTACATTGCAGATTAGTTATTTAGAAAACAAGCTTACAGAGCTGGATTTAAGATTTCATGGATGCTTAAATTTCCCAGAATGGTGTGATTGAAAATATTCAATTTCTTGACACTTTCCAGAAGGTGGTGACACTCAATAACAAAAAGCAATATTTCTGTATGCTATATGATCAACTGTTTAAACTGAAAAAGAATCGTTGTTCAAATAATAATGAGTGCCATCCTCTCAAATTTGTGTCTTCATACCACTAGCTGGGAAGCACACAGCTGCTGATCAACTCCGGAAACTCATTAAGACGGTGAAGGTAGGTTTTGAAGTGACGTTGTAAGTATAACTAATAGAGTTCTTCACTACACTGACAATTTATCTTGTCTGAGAAGTAATGTTGAGCAGCTTCTATCACAAGATATCTCTTTGGAAAAAACAACAATACAACATAATGCCTACATTCTAGAAATTTTGCACCGCTCATTCAAGAAATCTTACTTCACAGGCGCAGCTGTTGCATGATGACATGCACCATGGAAAAATAAATAAAAATTAGTTTGTTCTTGTACAAAAGCCAATGATTTCGGATGCAGAAGTCAGTTCACGCAATTCAACCCATATACAGTTATGTGTAATAGGCTATGAGGCACACCATAGGTGTGAGGAATTATAACACTACAAAGTTAACAGACGAAGCAAATTTCGAGTCCTGGACGCATTGTTCCAAGTTAGTTGCTTTAACCAATGAACCATATCTCCAAACGTGGTCGAATAACGGAATCTAAACGTCAGCATCACATTCAAGATTTCTAGAAACGGGGAGCTCGTACATAATAGACTATCCATAGCTATAAACGATGCAAAAAAGCATGCACTGACTTAGTATTCTGAATAACTCAACTGAAAATCTGATATACTGTGAATTGCTAATACATACGCTGAGGTTAGAGCAATGACCTTCAGATTCCCTCTTGGTAATCTCTCGATTACTTTATAGGTTTATTAAGGTGTTGAATAAGTACAAAACACTGGCCTATTTTTATATATGCCTAGAAGTAACTCTGGTGTTTCGATATACATAGTTATAAGATTTTTGGGAAAGATAAACATAAGTCTGATTAGCGCTGAAATTTCCGCAGGATTTCGTGTTTCCTTAAGAATGCAAACCGCAATACTGTACAGAATTAAAATGTCATACAGTATTCATGTGATGATAATAAACTGGAATGTGTATATCAGACACTGGTGTCATTAGCACAGTTCCCTCCCGTCGACTGAATAAATTTCATGTCACCGTTATACACCATTCAATAGATACACAGGAACAACAGTTTAACAATCATTTAATGCGTGGAAATCCATAAGAGATAGATGGTCTGAATATGAAAAAAGAAAGGTACCTCAAAAGCAAATATGATAGAGAACGAAAATTAAATAAGATACTTCGCATCAGATTTAGAAAATACTCACTTTGATTCAGTAAATCTACTGATGATAGATGGCTAGCCAGTATTTCTAGCGATGATCGAGAAAAAGCAAATGCAATAGTAGGCATTAGATCACGTTCCTGAAGAAGGTGAACTACACCAAGCCATAAATTTTTAGTTCGATGATCATGTACACTCATTCCGTTGGACGCTAAAGCATAAAAAATACATAGAACTAACCCAACAGTTTCACAAATAATTACGATGATATGATAAAAAAGATCATTACTAGATTTACACAGTAAGTTTTCTTTCTGTATACTGAAACAACTTTTATGACGAGAGAATTTAACGTGATCAAATATACGCGTTCAAACACAAACGCATGAAGTGGCTGACTGAAGGCCTGAGGTGTGTAAAGGAGTGTTAACTTTCGTGTTGGCGCCAATTTGTTAACCGAAACTGTGCATTGACAACTCTGCACGACACGACTCAAAATCGATGGTAGTAGTACAGATTTCGCTTTTCGTCCTCCTGAAAGTTATATCACATTCTGCTAATCGTCTAAATACATTTTCGGTTTTTGGTGACTTCTGCGACTGCTGAAAACATTATTTCTATTTTCATTAACGCTTTTTTCACTTTGCACTTTGATGTGACAACGTTACCACTACTAGATTAAAGTTTAGCAATATATATCTGTCCATCTGGTAACAAAATCATACAGAGATGTCGTTATATCAATGAAAACTATAACAAAACAACAACAAAAAACTTGATAGTACATGTTATCCAGATTCTGCTGTTTCATATTACTTCAGTATTTTGTGTCCATGTGTCTTGAAGATATTAAAAATAATTGAAAATCACTTTTACACGAAAATGAACAACAATAGCTTACTAATATGTACTAATAATATAGATATTACTCACATGGTAAAGGACGAAAGTGACCTGGAGTACTCACTTTTCCACCTGTATTTTTCTTAGGAACATTTTTGGCATTTGGATTCATTGGTGGTTGACTAGGTTTTTTCTCAACAACTTTCTCTCCACACAACATACGACTTGCCTGTTTGTATCCTAAGTGAATGTGAAAAGAAGAATCTGTTAAAGTACGCCTAATAAAAGTTGAAGCGGCTATTCAAACATCACGTGTAAAAAGTACAGAATATTGGAATATTCTTTAGGGATGCAGTTCACTTTTAGACATGAATTGCTCTGCGCAGAATTCACCACAAACATATAACCATATTCAGAATAGGAAATACACTATTCATTCACGAAGCCATTAATTTGTTAGTTTACGCAAACTATATAGACAAAAAAAACCCGATTTAAAACGCGTAGTGTGCATCGTGAACGTATCGTTCACGGAGAAAAGTACATTTCCAACAATGTATACACACGCATCTCTTACCACAAGAATATGGTATGGAATTAATTTTCATGCGTAAGAGGCGATCCCCGTCACTACACATATGTTAAAGACTTCCATTTGAATTCGCACTTATTAGCTTTCCAAATATGTTTCTTAATTCACTGGTAGAAACGGTAACAGCCAATAGAGAATTAATTTATATCCAGTAAATACATTCAAGGATTTCAAGGTTAGCCCGCAAACAATTCGATATTTTTGCATAAAATACATGAGGATTCACCTGGCAGCCCACACCATGGAAGGCTATTTCTTTTACCGAGGCGCTGGAAGAAGATATTATGTTAGCAGTGGTGGTGTGTCACCGTGGATGGCAGGGGACATCCTCTGAACTTCGATCACAAACGAACTTTTTGTAATTTCATAAGAAGGACAACGTTCTTATCAGCGAAATATTTCTTTCCAACGATTTCATTGTCAAACTGTACAGTCGTATTTATGATCAGTAAAAGGTCAGACAAATGTACTAAAAAAGTTGTCCAGTCAATATACACATGATACAATTGGTGGTGATTGGGTGATTAGTTCAAGCGGAAGAAACAGAAAATGAGTCATTGAATAAAAAGAAGCGATTTCATGTGGTAAAATAAGGCTCAAGTGATGTCAAAGAAACGTAAAATGATAACAATGACGATAATTAAACTGATGCACACACAAAAAATCGGGCGAAATGAATTGCTAAGATCAAGGTAAATATAGGAGTTTCACAAAACGCTTTCGAATGCATAAATCTGGCTTTTGATCATGTATACCCAGTGCTTCAGCTTTGCATAAATGGTGGAAACGTAGACCTTTGTAGTAGTTCAATTTAACCTTGTAAATTACCTTAAAAGAGGAATCTCGAGGAACTGAATGACCTAACTCCATTAGGTGTTCACATATGGATGAAGCCGTAGTTCTTTGTTCACCTTTGGTTAACCATCCTTTTGTTCATCTTCGTGTGTCTGCAAGCTGTATTCTAAGTGATACCGCACTATCCACTGACTCATTCCTGTTTAAATGAAACTTCAGGTGCATTCGTCATGAGTCTAAGTCACTTAAGCCTGTCTACTGTTTTGCACGTCTGACCCTTTGAATGGGTTTTCTTTATCTCACCGACTGATTTATTGTATGGACTGGTTACAGTCATTTCGCTAGTTTGGTCATTTGAAGAGTTAGTTCCCATTTTTAACTGAACATTATTGAACTGGATATTTTTAGTTTTCATTGTAATTGATTCGGCAATAATTCCTGCGGAACTGCCACAGTTGGAAGTATCCGTTATTGTGATTGTGATCATAATCTGTATTTTCAACACCGCTTAGATAACAAACCTCAGGATTTCGTTCTGGTCATAAAGGGTTGCTAAGATCACTTTGGAGAGGGTCTAAAAATCACCGTCTTAGATTCAACAATTTGTTTGCTGTGAAAGCAGCTAAAAATCTACACTTCCGACATAGGAAGGCCACAGAATAGCGAGCAATGTACTGAATTTAAGGTCTACCTTTTCTCCCCCCCCCTCCCCTTCACACTACAAACGCAGTATCAACATGGTACTGCTGATCATCTGTAGGAAACACTTTATTACTGACATATTACCGTTCAGCCTGCAGTACGACTTCCCCCTCAGGCCCCATGGTAGCAATTTCTTCTGTGATGGTAACTGCTTTTGACTTACTACTATGCAACTGACCTATTGCATTGGTATTGTTGTACCTTAAGGGTATAAGCTTCCCATCAGTAGAGTCCACTGGATCGTTGTGACGTGCAAGCCTGACCACCAAGTCAAGTAAGCTGCTTACTACTTCTAATTAATTCTCTCCCTTATAGCTTCGCTTACATTGTGTACATACCATTTATTTTTTGTCGCTTTAAGGCGAAAGTAATCACTGATATTAGAAAACAACTTTACCTTGTATATTGAACTGACCGGATTGATCTACAATAAGATGAAGATGATCTTTTGTATGTTGACCATCCATACCAGTGAAAATGAAATGCTCCAGTGGAACTGGACGCTTATTAGTTGCAACGACATGAATTTCAGTATCTCGTATTCGTCCCAACCAATCTGCAAAGTCAACCTTATTAGGTACTGTTGCACTTAACATAACAAGCAGAACATGTTTCGGTAGCATAATCATGATCTGTTCCCACACATGGCCTCTCTCTGCATCGTTTACATAATGAACCTGTGCAAAATTTAGAACAATAAATTGAAATATACGAAAATCAGCAGTGGTCAGTACTAGTTAGTAACTTAACAAAGTAACATAGAGTCCAAAAGTTAAGCAGAAAGGTTATTTGATTGAAAAACGAATCCAAGATGCATGCTTAGTTTTCAGTGTTAAAAAAGACTCCAAGTAAAACTATGTACTAGATGGATAATCATAAGTAATACTCTGAAATACACAGATATCAGTTTTATGGGTGCGTGGACATCGGTGTGTGGCTATGAAGCCAAGCACTCACACTAGTTGGCTCTGTTATGTTATAGTGTCACTCATACATTTTATTTCCTTGACAATCGTAGTTACCTAACATCAACTAGTCTCTGAATATGCTTCATTGTCTAAACGAACAGTTCAATGTGCTGTTTTGATTACGTCCCCCAGTACAGTAGTAATAATCATGATAACAATAGTAGTCAACAGCTGGGTTCGTAGCTTAGTTGGTAGACTACCGAGTTGACGACCAAGAGGCCACTGGTTCGAATCTTAGTGCGACCCAAATTTTCATGTCACTTTCAATTAACATCCAGTATGTACAATACAAGCCTGCTAAACCATCGCTATCCCAGATAAGCAAACTGATAAACAATTGTAATGACAATAATGTAATGCATTTCAGTCACTCAGTATATTCATTTGCTGTTAGGTAAGCTTAATATATGAGGGCTTATGGTGCCAACAAGCCAACGTAGGTAGAGTGGATTTCAGACTGCTCCATTTCTTTATGAATCAAGAGTCACACCCAAACACTAGTTAGATATACTTTGGTTCGTTTACAATATGAAGTATGAATATTTGGCAATGAAAAAAACCATCGCTAGAATTTCCTTAGTCACCAAAGTGTTTCTGTTTTGCATGCAAACTTAAGTAGGCTTAAACATTCAGTTCCAAGAAATTTTGTGCTAACACCATGTTTTTATGTATGATACATGCAATTTCCCATTTCTATACAAGGCCGATTGCTCGACCACTATTAGCAGATGGACTTGTATGCGGATGCCTCGATACTGCCGGATATTCAGAATGTTGTATTCATCTTGGTGATGAGCAATGGAATTTAGGACGTGCGCTTCGTCCTATTTAAGAATCGTCGGCTTGCTGAACCTCTACCCCAGTGAGTGGTGTCGTTCCCACTGAGACTCGAACCCAGTACTTCACAGCTTCAAACCCCGAGGCGCTATCCACCAAGCCAAAGAAGCATGACAGCCACCTCTTGCACAACGGGTATCACTTGTTGTATGATACTTGTAATTTCCCACTGCTGTACAACACAAGGTCATTTTTGACACAAAGATCTTCATCCTTACAAAGATCGCAACTGCAGCTAAAAACCATGCAATTAAAAAAAATGGCAATATGTAGGTAGTGGAACAACTATATGAGAAGATTCTGAAGACACCAAGGAATGTAGACCCAATGACAAAGCTTTTCATTGATAAGATCTCGCAAAAGGTTTGATGCGGGTATACAGAGAAAACATTGGTCTGGAGATAGGCCAATCAAAAATGTACTTTATCACGTGCAGTTAGACAGATGGACAATAGATTACTCAATCAACGTTACTGCTTTAAACGCCAAAACATCTATGTATTTATATTTATTTTCCTGAAAAAATACTAGACTCCCGATACAGATCACAAAGATACAAACGTAATTACAGCAGGATTTATAGAATTCATACATTCCAGGAGGACACGTCAGCTTTTACACCACAAGTACGTGATTTTACAGACTCTTATCAAGTAGGAAGACACATACAAACACATATAAAGACACTAAATGAGGCATGGCAACACATAGTGAATAATTTATTTGCACAAAGTAGAACTAAAATGAGGTTCAATGGGGTAACAAACTTATAACGTATCTTGAGATAGTATTCATCAAGAACCGACATCAGTTGAGGAACCACTGAAAACCTGGGAGCACTGCACAACCGTTTCGTCCTAGTAGGGGACTACTCTGGAGTAAGCACCCAAGACTCCGTGACGGACAGAAATCAGGATCTTCACGTCTCACAGTGAATGCGTTAACCACTCAGTCACTAGATTGGAGTTCAGTGGATCACAGTTTAAAACTTCCATCAATTCGCAAAATGGAGCGACTATCACCCAAGGTCTTCAGTCGGCATCCACTACCCTACCAATTGTTTGACCCCAAACACCACTTCTCATGAGAACTTCGAGATGGATACTACCTCAAAATCCCAATTCTCATTCACCTAAAAATACATTACTACATAGTGATTATTAGTGACATGCTACCAACTGGATTTCTCTCAGTACCATTGAGAGGCCGAGAAGAGTATGATCAACCATTTGCAAAATAAGCGTACACCACTAAGGGTCAAAGGGGTGGTAGTCGCGCTATATCGCAAGCTGACAGAAGTGGAAAATTGAGAATCAGTGAACTCTCATTGATTGACTAAATGATTAATGCCTTTGAGAGGAAAGCACAAGATCCTCGGCTCCGACCCTAAACCGGACGCCAATAAGTACTCACAAAGGTTTCATACAAGGACGAGAAACCGGTCAAGCACTACCGGGATAGCAACGCTTCTAAAAATATCACCCCATGATGAATACAACGTCAAAAGTGATCACCAAAAAGAAACAAACTGGGGATCGATTACATCACTTCGAACGGAACAACTAGTAGTCAACTAGATAGCTTGATAAAGGTACACACTAAGAAACCGGACGTGTTAGGTAAAAAAAATATTCATCGTAATAATCATAGTTCGAGTGAGTCATAATTATGACTTTGATAACAATAAGAATATTGGAAAGATTAAAATAACGTCATTTTGAACAAGGTAAATGAACAACTAAAGGAGGCTAGGATACCAGTTGGACGATAACAATAACAATGATAGTGGCGTGATGGAAATAAGTCATTTGACTATTAAGAGAAAACATTCAAGAGGAAATGATAGTGCAGCAGAATAAGGATTGTGAAGAGGTAAATATGCTAAGCAGAAGAAGAAATAAAATGGAAAAACAAGACACTGGTGAAAATAAACAAGTTTAAAATACTCCGACACCTCTACCATTGAAGATTCAGAGTGACTACCATCTCTGTCGAAGAATTATAGAACCTAGAATCTTAGACACTATGTTCGTCAGACTGATTCCAATGTGGTTATCACAAGAGGACTTCTCGCCTTTCTTGAAGACTGGGATAGTCAGTTATTCAGACCAGTCAAAGGGGATCGTACTTGATTCCCATATTACTAGCTAACACTTCCGTTAACTTGACTAAGGGCACTCCACCACCATCCTTGTATACCTCTGGAGTTAATCCGTCTGGTCTTGCCAACCTTCCTCGTTTCAGGTTACTTACCGCTTCCTCGACATCTAGTTTTGGGGGGCCTATCTCAATGTCCCATTCAGGATCCGACTGTATAAAGGGCAACGTAGTGGTGGCTGGAAGCCAGTTAAACTGCTTCTCGAAGTGTTCTGTGCATCGTTCCAGTCGTCTCCTCTGCGAGTGAATCGCAGATCCGTCCTTTTCCGCCATAGCCTCACTAACTATTGTTGATCTTTTCTGCCCAGTTTCCTTAATAAGTATAAATAACGTTCTATTGTTACCAATCGCAGCTGTCTTTTCCATCTCTTTAGCCTTCGCTGATCACCACTGTTCGCGGTCGTTGCGTAGACTTTTCTCAATCTCAATCCCTTTCTGTGTGACTCATCCTACTCACTTGTACATTGAAATCACTTGTTTGGACAAACACATCTGAGCGTTTGGCTTTCAAGTAGAAGAGTAGACAGTTTTCGGTAGAACTCATCTGTCACTTCACACGAACTGCAGACAAGCATTTTTCCGAAATGGTAGAAAAAAATGCTTACCACACGTTAAAACACTGCTCATCCATTACCCTCTACTAAGTGTAAAGGAATTACCAACTTTTATCTAGAAATGCAGTTGTTCATAGCACTGATACATATTTAGGGACTGAAATAGTCAGTCTTGTTTCAGAAGAATGGAAAATCGATAATGCAAAACTGCTAATTAGATGCAAGATGTAAGAACCAAGCTCTTCGGATGCATTAGACAAAAGGCCTTCAGCATAAATTTAGTTTATACGCTTCACCCAATAAAACTACATGAAATCAATTACTTTAGTGTAACCCATTTTTCTTCACAGGTGTTCATCCAAACTAAATCAGTGGACATATGTCGGCACAGGTGCTTCTGGAGTATATTTCACAATATTATATTGACCGAGTTATGAAATTATTCAATGTTTGTGGTAAGTGGCAGTGTCCAAGAACCCATTTTCGTTATACAAGAGATGAGTCAGTTGACGATAGGAAACTGTTATTATCAACAATACTACTAGAAGCAAATAGACATTGTAATCTACAGGTATTCGATCTGCATATCAGTTACGAAATGAACGCTCACTGGAGTTCAGGCGTAAACTAACGATAAGTACTGAAGACAAATCTCAAATCCGGGTCTTGCTATAAATAAACGCTTCTGACTTCATTCCGACTAAAAATACTATTGACGTAAATTTCAGGCACTTGCTTTTGTATATCATCATAAGCAACAAACAAATGAAAGAAATCCTATTCACATTATTTTCTACACTACTACACATCTTGTATTACTTTGTATTATGCAAAAAAAGACAGAAAATTCTGAAGGTAGTACAAATGTTAACGTGTTGTTTTATCTGTTAGGCATTTTAAGAAACGCGTGCAAGATAGCATGTTCAGGTTCAGTGCAGAAAAGGAACATGAGGAAGTAAGTCAATTACCATGATGTGCATAAAATATCAAACCTTCGTTTCCTTGAGTGCTAAATATGAAAAGAGATGATAATTCTTGATAAAACACTTATCTAGAAACTTCAGCCTTGCGAACGAAGCGGCCAAGTAAAACTCGAAAGTAACTTCCTAACCCTTCCCGTTCCCATAGCATAGGCAGTATCAGTATGATACTGCTGGACATTAAAGGGGAACACCTTACTGTTGTCACATTGTGGCAGTGCAGCTTCGCTTTCAGATGGACGTCACAATGTAGCTAGTTACATTATAGCGGTATCTGCTTTTGTCATACAACTATCCAACTGACCTTTCTGACATGAAAGACCTCAAGAAAAAGCGCTACAATCAACATAGCTTGTTGAGTTCTTTTGAAGCACGACCACCGCGTTAAGGTAGCTTATATAGCTTACTGCTCGCTTACCCCGGAACTGGTTGGAAGATGTGGGGATGTAGTCAGTGCATAACAAGGAAGCGTGGGATGAAGGATATTTATTTTGATGCCCTACGAGGACCTGGATAGGGTCTGATACCGTGCAAATCAGTGGTTTGAAAAGACAGTAAATATGTTCCATAATTGAAATCAGTAGTGATCAAGTTGCATTTCTTTACTTCTATTCTTGAGAGGTAAGACAAAAGTGATATGTGCTTCTTTGCATGCACAATTTGGACAGCTTCTGTAGTAGCCCATTTACTTTTCTGATCCGTTCGTTTTCCACAATATAGCATATTCTCAGTGTCGCCACATTATTTTGGACAGTGATTCTCTTCATGTTGATGTTATACCAAGTATGTGTTCTAAATCATAGTGGGTAATAATCAACCATCACAATTGAGTACCAAAGAATTACCGTAAGCACTATCATTGATAGACCTGGTAATAGAAAATTGCATGGATCTGTATGTACTAAACTAGTAGCATTTCAATTCATTTTTATAAAGTTAGGTTAAGTGCTGGAGAAGTAAGCATGATAAAAACATTTACTCACTTCATCCATAATAACTATTTCCAGATCTCTGATAGCATCAGCATCGTTACATAACATGTTATGCAAGATTTCTGTCGTCATAATAAGCAGTGTGGATTCGGGTGCCAATTTGATGTCACCTGTTATTAGTCCAACATTGTCTCCAAATGTTTGTCTAAAGGATTGCAGATAATTATAGGATTGTGATATGTGGGCACCAAATAAAGTAAGAAAAACATTTATGTGTTTGAGTGCACGCAATAATTCATATATTGCAAAGGGATATTTATAACAAACAAATAGACAGACAATATAAACATGGGACCTAGCATTACTAAGTATTCTTCCGAGTTGCCGCATCTCATATCAGCAAATTGGGACAATATGCACTCAAAGAAAGATCAGGCAATAAACAGCGCAGTCAGGGGCGATAAGGTTGTGAGAAGAGAATAGAGGGGAATGAGACAATACGCAAATTCTGCACGGTGATTAAGACGAAGATTATATTTCAATTCACATCCACCTTTGAGATTGATTCCGAACTACATCATCTAGAGTTTCCACCTACTGGTTTCCGCTGTCACATGGAACCCAACCAGGAAGTTTAAAATTCCATTTATGACTCAGACCAGCAGTTACAGACCTCAAAGACCAATGCTACGATTTAGTCTGGCCGCCCCTAAATTTTTTCCAAACTGAACATACTTCAGCGAACAATACATGATGAGGCAGACGGTGACTAGATATGCGAAGCAAATGTCTAAGCCACCTGAATCTATAGAAATTCATGTCATCAAATGACATTCTTTTGCCCAAAACTACGCCTCACCTTTACGTTACTGATGTGTTGGCACCGTGACAGTCTATGTTACGAAAGCAATGATGGTCGAACAACTGCAACCTTCTCATGTACTCTACCATCCCTAACCATGGTTCATAGTCATACAATGGAACGGAACAAACTGTACCATTGCACACTTGGTCTTTGAAACACCATCGGATATAATCAATCGATAAATGGCATCAGTTGGTGGAAACCAATAAAGCCTTTCTTATATGTGCTGAGATGTAATCCTTTACTGACGCACCAGGGCTGACATTTCTTACGAGTGAGATCGTCAACATGTTACACCACTCTACCCCAGCGGAAACCAGTGTAGGAGCAACGATTCCCAAGTGAACCTTAAGCAAAGCATCCCTATCACTTTTGAATTGCCAGTCAGCGCGACCGAAAGACAACCGCATCTTGTCCAGCTCTTCGCCTAACAAAACAAAGCCATATAAGTCTACTGAAGAGTCTCCTGTGATAGTTGCAATTCCGATAAAGCAAGATAGAAGGGAATCCATTAGGAGTTTAGGAAGGTATGATTGATGAGTAAGGTATCTTTAATCCACATGATTTCTTGTCTTCGATCCGCTATCTTACTGTTGAGTTTCTTGTCCTTGTTACTTGGACATTTTACCAAGCCAACTTTATCTGACATCGGGTGAGATGATTTGAAGTCCATGTAACGATTCAACCAAGTGTGGTTTCCTATAAAAACTAGTGTCTACACTACCATCTTGTTTTCGTTTTACTCTGCAATCTAACTACCTTACCATTTCTCATTTACCAATTTCTAATTCATGAGATGATTAGATTGCACTGACCACTCAATTTATATGTGTACAGAGATTATGATTTGTCTATTTTGATTTATCATTTCTCCACTAACAATCTCCTATCCACTTCAATATCATTCGCTTACTACTTATTTCCACTATGTCGGTTACTGTGAACTGCGGTGACTTGAATTGATTCACTTCTGTGCTAGGTTCTAAGCTGATTCTCATACATTCCAATGACCATTACTTCCTTTCACAATGCATAGAACAAATGAAGTCAGAAGTAAGTCATCAACTCATTATTCTCCACGACAGTCTCGCTGACAATTCAGCCGCTGCCTCCAGCTCCCTTCATAAGTCTCAACAACTATCTACCATTGCAAATTAACACTGCCTTTACCATCTCTGTAGCCTTCACTACCCACAACTCCTAGCTGTGATCGTCTACACCTCCTATCAGTCAACGTGTGAGCTGCTTCCACTCCGCACTGTTCAACAAGCTTGCAAGAATACCTTCACGTACATCCATTGGTTCACAAGAAGCTGATGAAACAATACACTGACTCCTTCTAACCACTTTCTGAGAGACACACACAGACCTCAACGCCGCTTGCTTTAACACCTAACTGGAAATCGTGCCACGATTCCTCTGGATGAGTGACGTTGTTCTGCATCCATAACTCTTCAATCACTTAATCCTTGAAAACACGTGCTGCAGAACGAGCGACAACCTTCCACCAACCCTCTCCAGCCGTAACTGATGGCAATATGGTATATCTGTGTCCACCGTTCACTTGGGGGTCAGTGCACGTCATGTCAGATAGTGTCCCTCTTTGAAATAGTGGAGAATATTTGTAGCTCAGGTGGATAGTCTTGGTTGTATTGTGTTCTCTCAGCTGGGTCGTTTAATCGTGAAGCTTTCATCATCTTCCTAGACGACATCATCAACACTAACTTCAGTATGAAGTGAGCTGCCAATATCTCTCCGTTAGTGATTTAGTGGCTTTATCTCTTTATCTCTGAAGATCTTGTTAGCCACAAATACATGGTTCTCCTAATACAGTTGTATCAGGCAATTCGCACCAACTTTTATCTGGTTGGCATTTCCAGAGTACCAGCTAAGTCCTTTTCTGTGTGACTCATCCTACTCACTCGTACATTGAAATCACTTGTTTGGACAAACACATCTGAGCGTTTGGCTTTCAAGTAGAAGAGTAGACAGTTTTCGGTAGAACTCATCTGTCACTTCATACGAACTACAGGCAGTGGGTGTATAAGGAAAGATTACAGAGGCAACGGACACTTTCCTTGTTGCTTCTTCACTGTTTCGTTCAGTGCAAAAGCCGACACAGTGAGGACCTTTTCGCCTGTCAGGCATCATTTACACAGTAAAGGGGTATATTAAAAGTATGTTAAATATCACATGGTGAAATAATAGCAAAGGAAAGAGAAAATCATAACATGAGGCAGAAGAAATGATGAATATGTGTGAAACAAGAATATGGAGTGATGCAACTTTTAATATGTAGTAGATGACTAAAACTGAAAGCATCTGAAATTCGTTTTACTTCATATCTCTTTAGGTATCCACTAAATAATTTCGAATTTTTTACAGAATCTAACACTAGAATAGTACCTTCCAGTATACTTTGTTAAATACAAAATTAGTAGTCAAGCATCAACAGATACTAATCCAATACAAATATGTTTCACTTGAGTAGTTTATACTTGTCATGCTGTGAAATGATATCGTCCACATACACAAAGTCAAAACGTTTTCCACCTAGTAATAGATCTGCACCACTATGCAGCTTCTCCAGACCTAAATCAAAAATATCGTAGACGGTAAATTTATGAGGGAATAGAAAAATCAAACAACCCTGCCTAAGCCTACTTTCTAGGTAGGACTATTGTAGAGGTGGCAGTATTTCTTCACTCTAGCAAAGGTATTTTTTCGTAGGGTTTTTAGGATATTAATGAATTTTTCAAGGACGCTTTTCTCGATTCCAACCTTGTCCAGCGGACGCAAAGAAGCTGTGATATCATGAATGCCAAAAGTTATTGGCCTGCAGTATCCATGATGCCTCAATATCCAGTAAACGGTGAATACGTCATTGACGCACCCACAACCTCAACAGAAGGATTTTTTTAGTTTGCAGAAGTTTGCGAATTACGACAGTAGCCAGTATTTAGATGTTACTGGTGGTAGAATGATACTCAGATTATATTTCATGTTGCCAAGAGTCTTTTAGGACAAGAGTACGAGAATGGCTTGGTTACGGAGTGATGTAACACTTTCAGTTTGCCATGCCATCTCAAGTAGTATGGTTAGTTTAATCTCCATCTTCAGAAGGAGTTGTCAAGGTTGCGTATCTTTTGGAACTTTAGTAATGGGTTTCTAGGACAGTAAACTAGCGAACTGCGATTTGGAACTTTCTGCATGGGTTATTTCGTGCAGTAGTTTTGCTCGAAACATTATCAAAATTAGGTAACTTAGCGTGTAAATATTCACCTCAAGTAGGTTTATATTAAATGTATCGTAACATGTGCTTGGTTTCATAAATCGAATGAGGATATAACTACCAGTAAACTAAATGAAAAACTCTCAAGTTTCATTGACAACTACAATGATTCTTGTTTGCCATTTACATGAACTGTTCAAGTGGAAAATATGGTCAGAATATTCCTGTGATAGTTACACAAAGAATATGACAGATGGTAGATATCAGCCCAGAATCTCAATTTGAAACAATCGATACGAAACACTGGACAGTTTAAAAAATGTTTTGTGTTTGTATAGAGGACCAAGTAAAGATAAACAGTCGTTTATGGTTTTACATATCTTAACAATTAACGCAAATAAACTATGAATAAACAACTGAAAGAATAGAGAAATAACTTGGAGTGATAGAAGGATTTTACCACCAGAGATAATGTTTAGCTAGTCAAATTAAGATTGATGGTTGCTACCGAAATCAATTCAGCCCAGAAAAAAAGGAAATCGAAGTCATCAATTAAAAGCAACCTGGCTTGTTACGCTGTTATTTATAACTACTTCAAGGATTAGTGATACTGTCCTGCTGCAAATGCTGAAGTAAAATTAGTCCTGAAACAAAGACCAAAAAAGCTTAAATGTCTAGTCAGTGGTCGGTGTCAACAACTTATCTAGTTTATGAGTACCTTTTGAGCTTTTATTCGACTTAACGTTGTTTGTTTTTATGAGGCAATATTTCTGCTTATACAGCCCAATATTGTTCAGAAAGAGTTAACAAATCTTAATTACTTTATTCAGTTTTACTTAGACCTTACGAAGAATTTTTTGTACAACCCACTGTATATCCACTAAGGCAACTTTATCAACATATTCGTTAACCAACTAATAACTAAGTGCCAGCAAAACTAGTACTAGTGGGATGAAAGGAACAAGATTTTTGAAATCTCATTCATAAAATACAAAAACATAGAAATCCACAAAGCATTGTTTGCGCTAAGCTAAGGTGAAAACAACATACCTGAAATCATAAAACTTCTGATTTGACAAGGCTTTTATAGGACTTGTATAGATGACTCTTGAACCTCGACGTCGGCAGAGAGCACACGCATATTCTGCAACGACAGTTTTACCAGCCGAAGTATGGGCTGCCACAAATACTGTTTGATTACGTTCAAGACACAGAATAGCTTGCTTTTGAAACGTATCTAGTTCAAAATTCCATTTAAATGCAGGATTATGTACAAGTTGATCTAACGGTGGCAGCTCACAAGAAGTATCCTCCTGAAAAACAGACAGAAATATACTGCAAATTTCAGTATCGAATTAATTGACACTATAAAAACGAAGGAAGAATGAAAACATTTTCAGAAGTTTTGAGTACCTTTAACAACCAAAGGTCTGCTTAAACTTTGGGCAACCGAAAGTTTTCCACGGAAAACATTTCATCAAATTCTTCCCTTTTTATTTGTTTTCATCTCTTAGATATGTTGTTTGGACGTGTGAAGTACTCTCTCTCTCACTTTTTAAATAATTTCAATCCATTGTTTTTCAAGCTAACAACGCTGGTAGGAGACGAGGTTATAAATATACAGGAATACAGTGCACTACAGTTACTTGGATAACTAACTATATGGAATTACAGATTTTGGTTCTGGTTGATTAAACCATCACCACCAAAACTACGCTCGATATTCTCTTCGTTCACCAGCCAAAACCAGATGCTAATGCAATACCAGGTGTATATTTCACATGTGCCTGTTATTATTGACACGGTTAAAATGTAATCATTACTCGCCTCAAAACTATTGTACAGGAAATGAATTTTCTGAACCATGCTGAGAATTTAATACTGTACCACAAGTCTTGTTTGGAATAAAGCTATTATTATTATTATTATTATTATTATTATTATTATTATTATTATTATTATAAAACCTACCTGAAATAGTGCCTCAGCAGTCTACGCGATTAACTTTCAACAACTTGATTGGAATTACTCACATTTCAACTACTGATATCCGGGAAAAAATGTAAACCAAGTTTACGTACACGCTTATGGAACTTAAATGTGGTTATCTATTATGAAAATTCATTCCACAATGCGAAAACCACTGGTTGTCACGGTGTTGCAGGTGTAAGTATAGCACTAAGTCAGGAGGCTCACTGATCAAATGAACGTCAGTCGATAGTCATCTACTTGTGTGCTGCGTGACTCAACGGTCCAATGAGGACTGCGAGAAATAGTAACACATGTCGTTGTTTTTTCATGATCTTGGCTTACATATCCACTGGATGAAGTTTGCATGAATTTTATCGAAATCTAACTTCCTAATAAAGTCGAACGTTTAGATGTTATCATATCTGGGAACTTCAGTAGACAGACATGAAGGCTAAACCACACAGAAAGATACCAAGGTGGAAACTTTGAGAATTCCGCTCAAATGATATGATAGTAGCAGCCCCCTAAAACGATTTTGAGACCTAGCACCAATATCAAACATGAAGACAGATATTGCTTGACCTGACCGTCACTAAACTCAATCCAAAGACAGACGCAAACCAACCGTATCATTACTGTCTATTACTGGATAAGTTCAAGAGAGAACCACTTCGTTTGATGCAAGTGCTTGGATAGCAACTGTGCATCAGCTCGAGCACTAATATGTTTACATTTAAGTGGATCAATGAAGACTGTACACAAGGGACCTCTATGAGTTTAGCTCTATGCCAAGCATGCTGTAGATTCTTTCAAATGCGAAAAGCTTGGCATCATATTTAGTCTGCTGTGAAAACAGTGACAAGACAAAATAACTGACCCGTCAAAAAAGCTACAATTAGTAGACCCAAAAGGACACATTTCTGCAGAACTTCAGCACGATGAGAAGAAGCAGTCCAAATGAATGAAAAAAGCACTAGACAATGAGCCACAGTTATGCGGAGGTCTGTGATATTGCCTCAGTTTTGACTGACAACTAACCGAAACTCGAACTTGAAGAACAAATCAATCTGAAGTCTTTAGGATAATTAGAGTACCAAACAGTATTTTTTGGATGGAGACGCCGACAAGACGCAATCTTCTGGATGCTGTCATTGACAATCCGAGAATATTTGAAATGTATTTCTCGGTAACCAAGGGAAAATTGTCTCTAGACTGATCTGTGTCAAAACCTCATCTGACTGTATGAAATGTGGTGATTGACAGCGTTCACTACTCCATTTATTTGAAAAATCAGTTCACTAGTTACTAGCCAGTCCTATGCCCGGATAAAGATGGAAGATTGGACATAGGGCTAGCAAACCTACCCCGTAAAACCAATCCAGTTGCTTAAGAAACTTCAAAGCACTAAGAAAATATAAAAAGCAAAAATAAATTTATTCCTCGTTGGAATCGAAGAGACGAAATGACGCCAGTTAGTGAAAGCCTTCGGGAAGCCAATTCGCCGATGTGTCTTCTCTCTCCCTCGATGGAAGCGAAAGTAAGTATGGGGACATGGAATGTCCGCACCATGTTTGAACCTACTAAGGCTGCCCAGATTCTAAAAGAAACGAGAAGGTGTGGTATTGAAGTGCTAGGAATCTGCAGATGGAATGGAAGTGGACTCTGCAAACTGTCAACTGGAGAGTCAATAATCTACTCCGATATTGTCACCCAGACGACAACTACGAGCACACTGAGTTTTGGAGTGGCTATCATGATGTCCCCAACAGCATCGAAGACTCTCTCTCTCTCTCTCATTCAGTGGGAACCAATCTCCTCCAGCATCAGGATCATGACAGGAAGATTCAACTCAAAAGGAAAGAGAGTCACAATCATACAACGCTACGCTACACTACACTACACATCTACAAATAATGCAGATGAAGAGGAGAAATTCTACAGACAACTGCAATCAGTACTGGACACGACCCCATCCCAGTTGGCGACATCAAAAATCATTCTAATGGGTGACATGTTTTAATGCGAAACTGGGAGCAGACAACTCAGGAAGAGAACTGATCATGGGTCGAGAGGCACTCGGTGAAATGAAGAATGAGAATGGAGAATTGTTTGCAGACTTCTGTGCATTCAACGATTTGGTGATTGGAGGCGAGACAGTGTGTACAAACATAAGGACATTCACAAGGCAGCGAGCGACATGGAGTTGATTTCACCAGACACCAGGACACATTACACTAACAATCAGTTCGACTTGATCTCAATGTGAAGAAAGTGGAAACGCAGCCAGCCTACTGGACACAAGATCAGATGAAGAAGAGGAGCAGATGAAGGTGGTTCACACCACTCACTATATAGTGCAATGAGCCTACCTTCAAAATCAAGTTGAATGCTTTCAGAGAAGCTGGTGATGATAGACCACAGTTCAAGTTGAACACCCAGAACAGAGGCTGAACTGAACTGAAGGACGAGACTACAAAGGACATCTTCATGTCAGTCATCAGGAACAAATGGAAGACATTGAGCAACATCCTCGAGGAAACCAGCGTGGAAGAACACTCTAACTCTTTGAAAGCTATGTGGGAAGAAACCTGGATAACCGTATTAGGAAGAGGCAAGATAAAGAATGGATTACGACGGACACATGGAAGCTGATAGAGAAATGAAAGGGAAATGATGGAGCAGTAGATGAACCAGTGCAGTGCAAGGATGAACAGCGAAAAGAGGAACTGAACACAACCTGTAAAACACTACACTGGACAAAGAAGTGAAGAAGAGTGCGCGCAAAGACAAAAGACACTTTTACAACACACTGCAAGTGAAGCAGAACAGGCTGCAGGTAGGAGAGACAGAGACCTGACAACAATATATTAAAAATAAACAGTTTACTACTATCTGGGAGGGGAGAGGTCAACGTAGATGAGACCAATGGAAGATAATGAAGGGAACTCAGCAACCACCAAAGTGGCGAAACAAAGGAAACGATGGGTTGATCACTTCAGAAAACTCTTAAATCGAGCACCCCGACCACCTGCGACTCGTTCAAAAATACCACCAACAGCCGAGCCACAGAATTACCAGTGAACACAAGTCCTCCGACAAAAGCTGAAGTGTTTGCCCGAACGCCACAAAGTTGCCGGAATCCAGGAAAGCAGCAGGACCACATGGAATTCCTCAGAAGCACTGAAAACAAATGCAAAGACAACAACAGCGGACATGCTCACACTACTACTACTACTACTACTACTACAGAAGGTTTGCAAGGAAGGAAGGAAAGTTACCTGCTGATTGATTGAAGGGAGGGCTACCTGGTCAAACTCCCAAAGAAGGGAGACTCGAGTTTTTGCAAGAACTGGCATGAAATCATGCTCATGTCCACCTCAAGCAAGCAAAATATAATGCCGCATCATCCTGGAGAGAATAAAAGGAAAATGCTCTGCATTCAAAATTACGAGTGGAACGGGCTAACTGGCTTCAGCAAGAATAAATCATGTGTGGATCAAATTGCAACACTGCACTATGCATCATCACAGAAGAAAGCATAGAATGGCAGTCAACTCAACTCTGCCTCAACTTCATCGACTTTGGAGAGGCCTTCGGCAGCGTCGACCGAGAAGTAATTTGTCAGGCAGTTGCTTGGACACTACAGTTTTAGTGCCACAAACATTTATCAACCTCATTCAACAGCAGCTATATGCTGTATGATGCTACATGCCAAGTGATTCTCAATGGAAAAAAAACTTAGTGACGCCTTTGAAGTGAAGACAGGAAGGAGTAAGACAAGGCTGCCGCCTACTATTACCAGTGATCTTGCTGATTGTAGTCGACTGGACTGGACTGGACTGGATAATGTAACAAAGTGTGAGAAGAGTGGCATACGCTGGCTGGACTGATGAAAAGAGCCTAGAAGATTTGGATTTCGTCGATGATGATTTATGTCCAATGTCTTGTCACACAAACTCGAAGATCTACAAGCAAAAACCAACAGAAGAGGCAGGGCAGCGAAGATGGGACTTCAAGTGAATGTAGAGAAGATGGAGGTGATGAAGATACCCAAACAACAACAACAACAAGCACCATGAATTGGAGAAACCTAAAGGAAGTTGTCTCTTTCACCTACTTGCCTAGGCAGCATCGTTTCAAATACAGGCGAGGACGGCACAGATGGAGACGTCAAAGCCAGAGAGGATCGGAAAAGCAAGACAGGCCTTCATTAATCTGAAATCAGTGTGGAGATCAACTGCACTGCACTCGACATGAAGCGTGAACAAGATCCGGATTTTCAACACTAATGTCAGTCAAGTCAGTGCTTGTATGCGACGGTTCAGAAACTTGGCGTTATCAGAAAACTCAAAAAGTATGACGATGCATGCAATTTATTCTACCGAAGAAACGTTTGTTAAAGACTACAATACACTGAACTGGAAAGTTCCACAAATGACTGCAGTTTATGTGCTCAGATTTACCTTTAGTAATAAGGAAAAGATGTCTTTCAACAACCACTACTGCTGTATCACTGGTAGATTTCATATAGTTTCTGGTCTAACATTGAATGAGGAATCTGTCCATCAACTAAGTAGCTAATTTGCTTTCAGTAAAAAGTAAGCATCAGTGATTACAGATATCTCGGTCTATCATAGTAGTGCAAAATTTTGAGTACTGTAATAACTTGCATTCATCTATTCTCACTGCTTGTTTTCTATTTCTTTATTTAATCATACTTTGACTCTCGTTCATTTTTTGTGCGTTATTGTGTGTGGTAGCAGCTTTTCATATCAGCCGGACCATGGAGCTTACACTTTTCACATACATTTGTGGTTTATTCGAGTTGATCATAAAATGCTATTATATTTGTTTACATTGTCCTGTTAAATTTCCCATGTTTATAACCTATTTACTCGTATCATAGTTACTAGGATGGTCAAAGGTGTTAATTCGCAACATGCAACCAATTCAACACTTACTGTTTCAAGCGTAATTAAGAAAAAACGTTTAAATTTAATAAGAATCAGCCATATAGAAGTTGCTCATAATATCTCCCAATGAAGTGTATATTAAACCTATTCTGAGAGGATGCAAATAGAAAACCCGCAAGTTTCGTCTAAAGTACGTCCGAGGTACATTTTTTTACTTATCATTTAGACGTGTCACTTAATATCTACTAGATTATGATGGATATAAAAATTCCCTTTGGCAGGATCAAAACTTAGAAACTGAATGGGAATAAAAATGAGAGCAAACGTACATGACTAAGAAGTGGCAGGATAAACATAAGCGTCTAATTTAACTATCCTGTCCCTCAGATTGCCTAGTCAACGAACTGTCAATGAGAATGTTGCATTTTGATTGTTGTTAAAAACATGTCAATAAACAAAATAAATCTTAACATTTGACTTTTCCTGAAAAATTTTCAGTGAGTGAAAGCCTAGTTCTCACACCAACATACAACTGTTCTTGTGATGACTCACTAAGTAACTAAACGTATGTTAAAGATTTGAAATAAGGAAATTATGAACTCGTATACGAAAATAATTGCATGTATACAACAACTGAATAGACAGCAGGTAATGATAAGCAACATTTGGGCATGATTTAGACGTGATAATCAAACCAGATCAATACGTATCCTGACCTACTAGACAATACAATGGTTAAAGCTAACTACCACCCAAATGCAAATTTTTGCTCCAGGACTGGTCTTCAGCGGTACCGCGGCTAACAATAGAGAGTGAAGTGGTTGAGTGTGTTGACCACTTCACTTACCTGGGAAGTAGGATCAACCCTGGTGGGTTAGTTGCCGATGGAATCTCTGCACAGATACAAAAGGCTCGATTGGCTTTTGCCAATTTGCGCCACCTATGGCGCCGCCGTGATATTCGTTTGTCTATTAAGGGTCGCGTGTACTGCACAGCAGTCCTGTCTGTTCTACTCTATGGCTGTGAAACATGGCCATTGAAAGTGGAGGATACAAAAAGGCTTCAGGTGTTTGACCACCGTTGTATAGACCGCCGTATTCCGTGGTATCACCATGTGAGTAATGCAGAAGTTAGGTGTAGATTTTTGGGGAGATGAGGTAAGTCAGTTGACGAGGTTGTGAACCTTCATCGACTGAGATGGTTGGGACACGTACTACGTATGCCTAGTCACCGATTGCCTCATCACACAATGTTGGCTGAGGTGGGTCCAGGCTGGGAAAAGGCCCGAGGTGGCCAGACTAAAACATGGTACCAATGTATGAAGTCTCTGACTGTTGGTTTAAGCCATGTAGGACGATGCAGACTAGGTGGTTGGGGTCCACGGGACAAGAGGAACCAGTGGTTGGAGACCCTAGGTGATATGGCTCAGAACCGAAGTCAGTGGCGCAGATGTATACACACATTATCCTCATCTTAACAACGCTATACCGAATCTCACTATTTTGTCACTTCTCTTTCCTTTCTTCTCGTACTTTATATTTCTTTTGACTGCATTCACTTATCTTCATCCTTCACCTCACTACCTTTTTACTTGATGTGCTGATATGAGGTGTGGCAACTCGGACCGTTACGTAGTAATGCCTGGTCCTATGTTGATAATGATGATGATGACGCTAAAAGCTTTCGACTTTATTAGAGCAGAAACTTGCAAACTAGTCAGAAGTCTCGTTTTGCTGGAGAGCAAGCGCAGTCATCTCAAACAACTTTTGCCTTACTATCCTTAAAAGCCAGTCATCAGAAAGTTTCGAATATTTGTAGGACGAAAGTAAGAAACTGGGAAAAACTCAACATAACTTGCCAGGATAGCGTAAGATTTTTGCGGTTTTGAATTACGAATTCGTTTTTCTAATAACCTTTGAGTGTCGGTGTTCATATCCGGACGTCTATCATGTTTGGAAATCCGCTTGTCAGAGGTGGAACCGACGACATTCTCAAATGAGCCAACCCAATCGACTAGAACATTGTGCGAAGCAAGTGAGAGAGTGGCATCTACAATAGTGTCTACTCTGTCCAGCTCACACTTAACAGTTTTGCTTGTAATTGAAGGTCGTTCGAGAGAAAACTGTGAACCAAGTTTTTGACATACATTATTTCTGACCTTTTCAATGGCACCTAAAATTGCGGACTCACTCTGGAAGATTTATAAAAACAGAAATTCTGACGAACCTTTAGCTCCTTCAGTTTGGAAACCCCAGACTGCTTGTATGCAACGTCCTCACAGAACAAATCTGTGTCTTTCAGCTGACCACACACACACTCACGACCAATAACAGCCTCGTAAAATGTATCTTCTGCATCTTGATGAACCAACCTTTCGTATTCTGATCCTGCATCACAATAACTGTCATGTAGGAAAGAATGTTCCAAGAAGGCATGAAAGTCAACTAAGTGTGACATTGATACCAGACGTTATGCTGTATCTAATCAGCACGGAAAAGGAGAATTTATCCAAATAACTAAAAATCCACAGAGTACTACCATTCGAAATTTTGCTAGAACTGGTGTAACCAGTCACATGGATAGTAACACAATAGAAGACCTTGAATCAAAACGACCTCTCCAACCTGGCCTAAGATCTGACAACAATAGTGCAATCCAATATCAATACCTTTTAACGTGTTAATGTAAACCAATTGATTTCTTCATGCTCGCTTCTAGGTCTTGCGAAACGGTTACATCTCCTAGGTGCATTCCTATGCAGTAGGTCTACCCACTCGATTGCTGTAGCTCTGGTTAGACCGACGGGCGGTTGGGTGTTGGTTAAATTTGTAGGGAGTGTTTTTTGTTTGTTTTTTCTTCCGAGGACTGTGGTGTGGATGGTTTCCTCAAGTATCGTGCCAGAAGACAACTGGCCGGACTGGTTGTAAAAAGGAGATGAAAAATATGTGCAGAGAAATCAAGAGGGTGAGAAGTGAAGAGAAAGACAAACAGAAAAAGAAAAAAGAAATAAAAATGGATTGGGAAAAGGGAAACAGCACGAAGAAGGAACACTGATAGGTTCATGGGGAATAGGTGATAGGGAGAGCTTTTGTCAAGGTTTGAAAACGTAAAGTCAGAAGGAAAAATAATAAATAATAAGATAGGACGAATGCGAATACAGTAATTATTTTAGTAGGAGACGGTAACTGGAGGGGACGTCTGTAGGAAGGCATAAGGTTGAGCTAAGTTCCCACCGATAGAGGCTTTACAAGGCATTCAGTAACGGTTAGTCGTACCTAGTTAGTAGGTCATGTCAGCCTAGTCTACATCGAAGTTGGATAAGCGTAAACCGTGTGTCGCTGAGTAACTGTCCAACCTCTTCTTGAAGCTGTCAACAGACGTAGCAGTAGCAATCTCGGCAGGCAATGAGTTCCAGTGGCCGCAAACTCGCAGAGCGAAGAAGTGTGATTGCACACGGGTTCCGCTCGTTGGTAGGTGATTCTCCTTAAGTTACCACAAGGATCACAACAATGGCCGTTCTGCAGGAATCCACTGTTCGGATGACTTGGGCTACTTAGTATTTTGTAAGCCGTTATCAAGTCACCAAGTATTCTACAGTGGCTTAGGGAGTACGGCCCTAGATCTTTCAGCCTGTCCTCAAAGGGTTAACGCCTCATCCCCACGACGAACTTTGTAGCTCGCCTTTGGACTTTCTCTAGGAGGTTCACGTCTCTTTTCAAATATTGTGGTGCAATGACGTTGTACCTTTTGAAGCGTGCGTTACGTCTTTTATGCTTTCCTCGTGCTTTTGAATTTTGGCAATCTGGCTACGATACAGTTACATTTTCCTTCCGCAAATTAAAGCTTCTAAACATATACGTTATCCGCTAACTGTTGCCGTCATTTTCTCCGCAACTATTGGTTGCATATCTCTGGTTTTCATCAATACGTGAACTTTGGTCTGGACTTCAGTGTTCTTCGCTATTTGACGGGAAGTTGTAGCATCTTGCCGCTTCATCCACCAGTTTACTGCAAAAGCTGAAGTTGACAGACAGCCAATAACTTTAATCTGTGTTGCAGATTAGTCTCTAGTCTTGCTATTTTATTGTCAGACGATAAGTTTTTGCTTCTTTATGTCTGTGCCTTGTAGCCTTAAAATGAGTAACGTCATTGCTGCCGTAAACAAACCAATACATAAAGCTAAGAGATCAAAAGTTTCGAATTCGTCACGAGGGTCTGAAAATGGCTTATTTATTAATGGTCCTTCTGTCGGTCTGTCTGATGTCATGGGTTACGTATGTAATGGTGTTATTGCGAACAAGCGTAATATTGTTGACAACAGTAATGCGATTGCCGATCTTCAGCGTAAACCAGACTGTCTTACACCTCTAATTTGCCTACTGAACCCCACAACAGACTTATCAGTGGATAACCTTATCAAGTGTGAAACATTGGTGAACTTTGTAGCCACTGAAGCCAGCAAAACGATTGACTTCGTCGCACAACTGCATTGTCCTCAATGTCCCTGATAGTTTTCCATTAAGAAGTGCTAAAAATGATCTCCTCCAAGCCTGCAGTTCCTATGAATCTGGTTGCACAGTCCGGCGTCTTAGAAAGAGGACCAGTAAACACCCCTGTCCAATATTATTCCAGTTTAGCTCACTACTTGATGCGAGACACTTTTGTGGTTCACAGAAATCTGTAGGACTCTTAAGAAGCTTTGAGAATGTTAGGGCACTTCCAGATCTTACCCCATATCAAAGACGGATACGTGTTTCGAATCCTTATGAAGTCCTTCTGGAAACTTCACCAGAACCAATGGCCATCCGAAACATACTGGCGCCTGGGAGTCAGCTCCTCACACCAGATGACGTTGTAAGTGTGGATCAAAAAAGGCTGACCGAGCATATTGTTGCGAGTACATCGGTTGCTACTGTTTCCCCATCCAACACGGTGGTAAACACTGAAACTGAGGGTCATATCTCCGTCAGTTATGCAGATTTACTCTCAGATGATGTTGACATGGATGGCAACGGTAATGATACATCCGATATGCACCTGATTCCCCTGAGTTTATCGACGAAACCTGCATCACCCAGGCGCAGTTACGTTGTTAAGCCTTTACCGCCCTCAAATACCATATTGTCCTCTGGGTGTATTGACAATGCACGGTCACATAGTGCCATGTTTCGAAAATCTAAACCTAAAAGTCCTAGTTAGAGTACACCACCAAAGCCAATGGCACAGAAACTTTTTAGCCAGCCCCGAAGTAATTATATTCAGACTGTTAAACCTAATGGTTATAACGCCATTCAAAAAGTGACCTCGTTTCCTTACGCAGACACATTCACGACGTCCACCGATATGACACCAAGTACTATGGCACCCTCACTAACCAACAGAAAGGTAGGATTCATACACCAAGGTGGCAAAAAGATAGAAAACATGCGTAAGAGTGTTCAGAACACTAATGCCTCCCATAGTCATGAAGACAAGGGCTATAGGAGAAACGATAGGTTTTCCTCCTCACACCCATCTACACAACATTCAAATCCAATGTGTGCTCACCGCAGTACAACGATATCACCTCCTAATTGGAGGCCTGCCGTTCAGATGGAGCCCGTGATACTGGCTGCCTAACATAATGCACCCTACCCCTTCCCATGCGAAGTGAAACCACAGATTTACTTGTCTCATTTCCGCAGACACCCATACTCGGGGCTCATCCTGAAAACCCGAATTTTCGTGGACTTCAAACATTATTAGCACCTTTTGCTGTTCAGATGATGACGCTGTCGAACCAGTAGCTCTCAATCCTAACGCGCAACCGCTACAGTGGCGGGGAAGATGTTACGCCAACCTGTCATCCTCCCGGCTCATATACAGTGGGTCAACACCCAACGCAATAAAAGATATTCGTAGTAACCCAGTAGTATCTTATTCCTCTATTATGTCCCTGAAATTAAATTCTGCCCCATTTTCCATACCACTACAGTTCCAACTAACCTGCGAGAAAATGCTTTCCGAAAACAGGTTTAGGTACTACTGCTTATCCAATTCTTTAACCTTCTGTCTGATTAACGCTCGTTCCATACGCAACAAAATAGGTGAGATCACTGTGTCGTCGACTATGTCTAACCCCTGCCTAATATTTATCACTAAAGCTTGGTGTACTCCAGGCACTCCTGATAGTGATGTCCCTGTCGACAATTATACTCTGTTTAGAGGAGATAGATATAATGGTAGAGGTGGTGGTTGCATCATCTATATCAGGTCCAACATTGCTGCGGCAAATTGTATTACTTCAGAACTCAATTCGCTCAGTGACTCAGTGTGGGTTGTGGCGAAGTTTACCAATGCTATAACTATCCTCTCAGGGTGTATCTACCATCCCCCTTGCTCTACTGTAGATTATGACGACAGGCTTGCAGAAGTGTTCACCCATGTAACAACACTGCCCTACTCCATGAAACTTATATGCGGTGACTTTAATATGCCTGAAATCAAGTGGCAGGCACTCACTTCTCCTAGGCGGTTTGATAATTTATTAATGTGTTGGATTCTGGAGGTGGCGCCAACATGTAATGCAACCAACTAGACATAATGGCATACTTGACCTAGTTTTCACGAATGGATTATTGCCTTTCACTCTTCAAGTTGGTCCAGAATTCCCTGGCAGCGATCACAGAGTAGTGTTTGGTGACTTCCGACCATCCCCCAGGTCAAAACAACCACAGTTAGACGATATAAAAATACCATCTGGGAAGAGATACAATACATGTTGCGATGCTTGGACTGGGGTTTTTATTTCACCAGTAGCTCAACCCATGAACTGAGTGACATCTACAGTTCCATGAATGTAATTCACGATCATATTGCTCCGGATGTATCAGTACTAATTAGAAAGCCGAAAGTGAATTTCATCCCTGAAAAAGTACGTATCAGCATGCGCAGACATGCCAGAAATTTCTATCGGTCTAATGACTTTTCATCCCTTGTCTCATTAAAAATTGCCCGTGAGAACTTCAAGTCAAATAAGTTACTGAAAGCAATCAAGCAAGCAACTAGCTGCAACGCACAAACAGTCAGTGTCCAATCATCAGTGAGAATTCTAAAATCCCGTGCAAACTTATCTAGAGTTATTCCCAGTAGTCTGATCATTGATGGGAACATTCTTTATGATGACACAAGTAAGATCTGTGAGCTGTTTAGTAAGCATTATGCAAGCTGCTTCACGCACGAAGATGGTGTACTAAACATACGAATGCCCATTCCACCACACCACTCACTAAGTAATGTTTCCTTTATACAGAGAAAGATAGACGATGCAGTTGCTTTACTAGGGGACTCATATTCTGCCGGACCCGATGGGATCCCGTCTGTTCTCCTTAAGAGGGATGGTGAAGATATACCACTGATCCTCATGAAGCTATCCTCAATATCCCTTATTGAGGCTTGCTACCCTGACCGCTGGAAGC